AGAATAACGCCTGACTCTTTAAATAGTTATAGGAAGCTTCTTAGGAGGAAAAAACAGGGCTACAAACGGGCTACATGGCCTGAAAAAACGTCTTTTATTAGTGCTTGAAGCTTTGTAATGGGAAGAAAGAGGGCTACCGCCGGGCGACCCGAGCCGATCTAAAAATGATCTTTAAAAAGCTTTTAAAGCTTCTGGATAGGGCAAAACAGGGCTACAAACGGGCTACACGGCCCGAAAAACGTCTTCAAGTAGAGCTTGAAGATTTTTTATCGGAAAAAACTAGGGCTGTCCACGGGGCGCCCCCGGGCGACTTGACCCGCCAAAAGTTTTTCTAATTGTTTTCAGAGCTTCTGGATAGGGCAAAACAAGGCTACAAACGGGCTACACGGCCCGAACTCTTTAATGAGTGCTTGATGCTTTTTAATGGGAGCAGGGCTACCGACGGGCGCCCCGGGCAACCTGATCCCAAAGCAGTTCTTTAAATAGCTTTTGGAGCTTCGGAAGAGGCCAAAAGAGGGCTGTACAGGGTGACCCGGCCCGAAAAACTTCTTTAAATAGTGCTTGAAGCTTTTAAATGGTAACAGGGCTGCTGACGGGCGCTCCGCGCGACCCGAACGCAATAAGTTCTTCTAATAGCTTTTGGAGCTTCTGAATAGGACAAAACAAGGCTGCCGACGGGCGCTCCGGGCAGCCCGGTCCGAAAAAATATCCTCAAATAGTAGCAGAAAGCTTCTTAGTAGAAAAAAAACAGGGCTGTCCTCGGCGCGCCACGGGCAAACCCGAAGTTTGAAGCAGCCGTCCCGGGGTGAACCGGCCCGCAGAAGATCTATAACTAGCGCTTAAAGCTCCATAACTAAGAGAAATAGGGCTGCAGACGCGGAGCCCCGGGTCGACCTGCTATTCGAAGCACCCGAGAAAAAGTCTTCAAATAGTGCTTGGAGCCTTCTAATGAGAAGAAAAAATACTACTGAGGGGCTACCCGAAATGTGACCGCTTTGGGTTTGAGTCGACCCGCTATTTGAAGCAGTCGTCCCAGGTCGGCCCGCTACTTGAAGCAGTCGCCCCGACACGCGAAAAAAATTCTTCAAATAGTTCTTGGAGCCTTTCAATGGAGAGAAAAAGACTACCGACGGGGGCCTCGGGCCGGCCCGTCCTCTCAGCAGATTCATCAGGGTTTAGAGGTGATGGCTATAAATCAAGAAAAAAAGGTCAGTAATGTTTCCTTCATCCAGATAAAACAAAATTCAAGAAAAAAAATCCTGAAAGTTTACTATGAGATCATTTTTCTCAAGCTTCACTCTCAAGTATTGTACTTGACGTAATTTTCGAGCCTAAAAATATAACTTCTTTGCAAAAGTCCTATGACCTCCTGCATAACATATCATGGGAAGCCAATCTCCTTCCATTTGCATAATTCGATTTATCATATCATGTTGCTAGACTTCCGCAATAAGGAGAGAGTCATCCAAACTTTGAGGTTTCCTCCTACGGAAATAACATTTTCAAGTTGGAAAAAGGAGAAGTTGGGGAATCGTCAGGGACTTTTCGGAGCTGATCTTGGAATTTTTTCAATTAAATAAAAAAATCAACATCAGGTTTGAAATTCGAGGGCTTTTCGTTTCGTAGATCAAAAAAATATTCTGAATAGTTTTTTTGGAAAAATGGAGGGGGAGGGTCTTTGGAAATTTATTAGAGGCTTTTCCGGATCTTATCTTGAAAACTTCAAATGAAATAGAAAAATCAAGGTGAGCTCCCAACTTTGAAGAATGTTTCATTTGGTATATCCAAATGCTTCTGGGAAAATTGGGAAATTCCAGATCCTTACCTCCTTGTAAGGTTATTGAGCTGTTATTTTACTGTTCAACCCTTTGTTTTTAGAAAACGGGGAAAATTTGCAAGCTGAGATTTTCAGGATCTTCATCAGTACGTTAAGAAGTGATCTGGCCACTTTTTGAAAACTCCCGAGCAAAAAGTTAAATTACCTCCTTGTAGGTTTTACTGCGGGTTCAAGCTACTTTTACAAAAGTTATTAGCCGGTTTTTTTGGACTGCAAGCTTTTTGAAGCATTTAATTATTAGTAATCTGAAGATTCAACAGAAAACTGACCAAGTTGTGAAAAATTACCGAGCAAAAAGTAAAAATACCTTCTTGTAGGTTTTTCTGTGAGATTAAGTTGCTTTTTCACTATTCAGCCCCTTCATTTTCGATGAGAATCAGGTTTTTTTTAATTTTCAAACTTTCAAGATCTTCATCTAATACTGCAAAGAGTGCTCTGAGAAACTTTCAGAAAACTCCCGAGCAAAAAGTAAAAAAAACCTCCTTGTAACCTTCTACCTTCAAACTTTCCCACGATAAAAAAGAAAAACAGCGATTTCAAGAAAAAAAAAAGGAATTAGGCCGAGATCGACGACACACTGCCAAAATTGAGGTCCGGCTCGAAAAAAAAAACAAAATTGGAGAAAGTGTGATGGAAGATTGGGCCATTTGTCAGCGGTTTGTCCTTGTCAGGAACCAGAGCTCCGGGCCTTTTTTTCTCAGCTTTTGCGGCTCCTAATTACTTCTTTCCGTCCCCATTTGCATACAGATTGGAGTTGGGAGGCAAGTTTTCGGGTTACGGTGTGGGAAGGTGAAGTTATTCAGCTCGTAAAAGGATGAGAAGCTGGGAAATTCGAGAAAGAGGCTCGGTTTTTCAAAAAAGATGAGAGAAGTGGAATAGAAGGTGTTAAATTAAAATTAAAATTAACTCAGGGAAATATATGAAAACATGAAATAAAGGGTTAAAAATCCATTCAAAAAGTTTCATTCTTTGCTTGGAAGTTTAAAGGAGCATAGTTGATCTCTAAAAAAGTAATTTTGTAACGAAAGATTTTTCTAGTTTCTGCATTACGTTGGAAATCTAACTAAGGATTTTTGAGCTTATGAAAAACTTCAAAATGCTAGAAAATAGGGAAAAAACGCTCGTAAAAATAAAGAAAATTATATGATGGTCCATAAATTTTAACAAAAAAAGAAAAATTAATGAATTAAAATATTTTTCGAACTTTCACTTTTTCTCATGTGCTTTCGTTTAGCAAAAAGTCATAGTTTCCTAAAATTATTATTTTTTGCAAGCTTAATATCTCGTTTCCAAGAACACCCAAGGAAAATCACACAAATGGCTAAAATTGACGTCATCTTTGAGAAAATTCACAGGAATACGAGGAAAAAAATGAAAATAAAGATTTGGAAGGAACAAAAGTTCTCTAATCTGAAATAAAACCTACTTTTTAAAACTCAGAAAGCCTTCAAAAAATATTCAATGATGAAAAAAAGCAGTGCCTTGCCTTTATTCCACCTTTGGACCTGAAAAAATAACTTTTCCACCCGAAAAAAGTAAAGAAAAGTTCGAAAACACGTGAAACAGCTGCTTTTTAATAAATTCCATCCAAATTCAAACGCCCACTCGTTTTTTTCTCCGTAAAATTCCACTAGAAAATCAAAGGCAAAAGCTCGAAAGAAACGGAAAATGAGAAAAATTTCTCGGTTAAAAAACGGAGAAGGGCAAAAGGTACAATTTTCTGGGAAATATAAAAAAAACATGTTACCTTTATGGATGAAACAAAATAACCCAGTCAAAAAAATAATTGGTACATTCTAAAAGAAAAAAAGCGAACCTACAACTCAAGAGAAATTAAACTGGAGTCCAAAAAAAGAATAAAAAAATTACACTTTTTTTCATTTTTTTAAACAACTTCCCCTTGTATAAGTAACTATAAAACAATCAGTACCACCCAATTTTCTTCTTTTCAAAATCATTTTCAACTATAGCCTACGAGACGACGGAAAATAAATTAACAAAGCGAAAATTTCTACTTACAAAACACCCATTTTTCCGGGAGATTTGCCAGATTTTATTATTGTTATTATGAGGAAAAAAGCTATAAATCAAATCAAAAAAGAAGATTTTCCACGATAATTGGCGGCTGGCCATCCACAATGACGGATTCATAGAAACGAAAATAATGCACGTGGATGAAAAATGAAACAAAAAAGGCACAGAAAAAAAATAATTCCGGGTTCTATTTGCTCTTTTGGCGTTGGTTTCCAGCCTTAAGTGCACTCTCTTTCAAATAAAAGACACTTTTCTAACAAAATTGCTTCCGGCTGAGGTTTTTTGTTGGAGAAGAGCACTTGTTTTATCTTGGGGAAGGGGATCGCGAAATAAAAAAAAGGCTCACACACATAACAAACTCGCGTAATCGCTCTGGAAGCAGCTTATAAAGAATTGAAATAGTCATTGTTTTTTCAACGCACGAGCCGTTAAAAATGCAACACTTGTCATCTTGTCAAACTCGGCCTTCTTGACCGGAACAAAAAGTTGTAGAGGGAAATTCAAAAAAGGAAAGGAAAATCAGAAGAGCAAGATTTTACAAAATCGCGAGAAATTTTTAAAATTTACTGTAGTAATAAAATAGTGCAACTTTACGGCGAATGTGTTTTACAAAATTTATAAAATTTCAAAAAAATTTCAAATTTGCATTTTTCAAGTTTGTTTTTTTAACTTTTTTTAGATATTTTTTAAAAAGTAACTTTAACTGTAAAAAGGTTATAGTTTTTGAATTTTTGTAAGTCCACCGACTCTCTTCTTGATTTCGCTCAACGTTTCAAGTCTATTTTTTTGTTAAAAAGTCCATTATCGCAAAAAGTGAAGTCCATTTTTTAAACTTGACACGAGTATTTTTTTAAAAAAAGCTTTATAAAAGAAAACGATTTAGACGAAAAAAAATACAAGACAAACTAATTGTTTTTTTATGAATAAAAGTTGACCAAAAAAAGTCTGAGAATTTTTTTCTTTCTGCATCTTTCTAAAAATTCTCGTGTATTTTTTTGTTGTTGTTGTTTTTTTCTAGTTTTATCACTGAAGCTAATAATTTTGTTTAGTTCATCAAAAAGAAACAAAAATTGATGCATTGGTGTATTGAAAAATATAATGTTTTGCATTTTTTCTGAACTTTTGCAGAATGAATCCGAGCGACTGGCCGCGAGGCCTTTTCTGCCAAGCATGCCACGAAGAAAAAATGCCCCGAATCGCTTATTTAACCGATGATTATTTGCATCATTGTCTAGAGCATTTTGAGAAGTTGCAGTGAGTTTGATATTATGCTTCTAAAAATCCAAACAAAATTTTGAGTCCCGATAAAATGGACATTTACTCGTTCAAGTGTAGCATGTGCAAGACGCTGTTTGCTAATTTCGACGGGCACGATTCGTTGGTTTGTCCGAAAGATATCCGGAAAAAGGTATAAATTTTAAAAACTGCCAGTTCAAAAAGCTGTTTCAGAACAACGGGAAGCACAGACTTATCATGAACAAGTTTGATCCGGGAAATCGGCTCGAATATCGTCGTTTTTGCGATAGAAATCGTGTGGAATGCGAAGGTTTGTAACGGTTTATCATTGTGAATATATAATTATTGAGATTTTTCAGTGGGAAATTGCAAGCAGAACAAGATGAGTGCGCTGGATCCATTGAGAGCGTTAGTTTGAATTTGTTTTTCAAAAAAATGTTTTTCAAATGGAGATTTTTGACTTGTTTTTCTCTGTGAAAAAAAATTTTTTTCTAAAAATTTAGCGATTCCAATTTTCATATAACTTGTAAGAAAAATTCGCTTTTTTTGCATTGATAGAACTTATAAAATTACATATATATTCCATTTTTCGCTTGAAATTTCAACTCATTGTGCTTTTTCCAAGTTTAGAACTTTTTTTATCGTTAAAAAAAGCGGACAGAGTTCTGTAATAGTTCATTCTATATTCGTTTCCTTTCAACATTTTCGAAATTGAGGTGTTCATAATTCATCAAAATTATGGGAAAATTGTTGAGCTGGGAAAATTTTTATTATTTTTTTCGAAATTAACTCTTCTTTTTTTGGTTCTAATTTTTTTCGTTATTACTTCATTTTTTTGATCTTCCTCTTCACTCCTTAAAATAAAGTATCATTTTCAAACACTTAGAGGTTGTTTAAATTTTATGTATTGTTACTAATTTTTTTGGACCTTCTGTCTTATTTTTTACACCAACAGGTCTTTTTCAAAACCAGTTTTTTTTTCGCCTTTTCAAAATTTTTTTTAAATCGAGTTTCGTGCTCAACACTTTGAGGTTATTGATTAAATCAAATTTTTCGACTTCTAGATTTTTTTTTTGAATCTAGTAGGATCACAATCCTTTCTGAGTTATACAAAGACCCTTGAATGAAACTAGAAACATATCTTCGTCTAAAGATTTTCATGAATGTCTGTGCTCCTTTAAAAACTGCAATTTTTGAACATTTAAAAATTTTTTTTCGAATATGTTCTGTTCAGAATCTTGAAGACGGAGTCGAGTCCGGACCTGCCGCCCCCTCCGCCTTTTCCAAATCTGAAAGAATCTGTGAATTATCCTGGAAGTTCAACTTCATCTTCGCGTTCCGTCTCGACGTCTTCTGGTTTTCCTGAAACTTCTCGAAATGTTCGTTTTTTAATAGGCAAAGTCGAAAAGGTTCCATAGAAATGAATGCTCCTTTTTGCGCCATTTTTTCAGCCCTTATGCACCATTTTTGCTGCCTCTCCTTTTTTCCACTATTTCTTGACCCTTTGAAATCCAAAAAAAAAGGGAAGGGGTCGATAAAAGGACTCTTTTTGATGCCTTTCTGTAGCCTTTTCTGAGCCTTTCCCATCTAGCGGCCCTTATCCACCAAATCAAAAAAAAAAAGATTTTTGAAAGGTTCCGGTAGGCCAAGAATTTCATTAAGGTTATTCTTGAACTCAGTCTGCTTTCTGAAAAAAAAAGCAATCTTATTTCGGTTTTTTCCCTTCGAGAAAAAAAGGTTCAATGCCATCTTCAAAGTTTTCCGGGAAATTTAAGAAGCCGTCAGAGAGTGAAAAAGATGATTTAGTTTTGGAGATTTAGAGATATTTTTGTGGGAATTACCCTGAAAAATTGAATATAATTTGAGCAGATTGTAGATTACAGAAATTTTTGTGTTTAACGAACTTTGAGCTCTTTCTAAGTTATGAAATTTCATAGTCATTGTGATCTTTTTCCTCGGTTCGTTTCGAAATTGAACGAAATCCAATGATCTAAATCATAAAAAGAATTTTCTACAGCCAAACTTCCGTTTTCCGGTCCTAAATGAGTCATTCCGCGAAAGATTCCCGAAATAGCCCTCAATCTTTCTCTAACCAACGCTATTTCCTCGATTTCTTAACAGACAAAATATTCAAAACTTCAGGAGGCGGTCAAAAATGCGTCGATTATCTTTTTCCTCGTAATGTTTGTCCCCTAACGACTTCGAGTGGTTTTTACAGTTTTTTTATTTTTTTCGCCGTATTTTTTTGATATTTTCGTAGGATACAGGCTAGAAAAAAAAATAGGATTCTTTATTAGACGCATAAAAAATGTTTCTTCATTAAAACTCGGTTGACAAGTAATTTAGGATACTCTGTTTGAAAGATTAAGTTGAAAAAGTACAGTTTTGCATTTTAGTAGAGTTGTAACGCTCAAAAATTTCCACTGCATTGAAAAAAAAGGATTGTTTTTGCCTTATAACTCTTATTGAGGTTTGAATTATATCATTTCAATGAAAAAAAGAATTTTTTTGAGGCGAAAAAAGTTTACTAGAATTTTAAAAACGCAGTATATTTCCACTTGTTCAGAAAATAAGCTGTCTGAAAGTTCCTTTAAGCCAAATTTCATCGAGTTCTTAACCGAAGGCCTTTTTTTCACTTACCAATAAGCGGTTTTCTTTAGATCAAAGCTAAAAACAAAGTTGAAGTTGGATTTTCTTGTTAAAAAAAATAAAATTTTGACTGTTGTCTTGGTTCCAGTAATGCTGAAAGTACCAGATAAAATGATTGTTTTGGAACTTTCGGAATTCGCTTTTTCCAGTGATTTTCTGAATTTTGGAATAATTTTGATGATTTTTTTACGCTTCACAGCTTCTACGAGTTCTACGAGTCTACGAGTTACAAGAGATTTTTTTCCAAAATTTTAGTTTTCTAACAAATTTTCGAACTTAGAAAAAAATGAGAGAAGTTCTCAATTTGCGTGAAAAATTTCCTGTTTGTTTAAACTGTTTATTGCATCTTCAATGTAAGAAAACATGTGCAATCGACTTTCATTGATTTGACTGTGTTTTAACGGCGGCAGGAGCTGTGGCTTAGGCAGAGAAGTTGTGAATTTCGCTCGTAGAACATCAGGTACAAGAGAGGTCGTAGGAAGAAGTCGGGTGCCGGCTTTCAAAAGGCCGATGGCAGAGATTGAGCCTTTTCGCTGCATGCAGCTCCCAATTTTATCTACCCCGGAGGGATGAAAGGCTTGGTCGACCTCGGGGGGACTCGAACCTACGACCTTGCGGACGTTAGAAATTAGTTATGCCAGCTGAGCTATGCCGCCCCTTCTTTTCATTTTACTAATGTTTTTTTCTTTTCCTAAAATTTCCTAATATTCGTAAATTTTTTTTAAAAAGGTAAAAATTGATCAAAAAAATAGATGATTTCCAGGCCCAACCGACAGCCGAAAAAACATTGGCGCAACTGATTTCTTCGGCCACGTTCAACTTGGACGATTCTCCGGTGGAAGAGAAGGTCATCGTCGAAAAACCACCCGAAAAGGAAACGCCGGAGGAAATTTCGATCGCGTTTTACAACGTCGTCGGCGATTCTGAAGTCTTCGAAGATCCGCCAGAAGAAATCCCGAGGAAAATCACCCGGTCGCAGAAGAGGAAGATGTCGTTGGAAGTGTCCGAACACGTGCAGAAGAAGACTCTGCCGAAAAGAAGAACTCCGGCGCAAAAGAAGAAGACGTCGAAGGAAATCGTCGCCAATTCTGAAGCGAATCGGGCTGAGACGACGTCGAACATGCAAGATTCTGATGTCAGGAGTGCGGAAATTTTGCTTGGATTGGCGCCGAAGAAGGGAGGTCGGCCGAAGAAGACGCCGAAAGGCGCTCCAGGTGGCGACGTCGAAGGTTCTGAAGCTCAGAAGACGTTGACGGTTGGAGATCCTGACACGAAGATTTTATTGGAAGACGCGCAGAAGAAGGGAAATCAATCGAAGAAGACGCCGAAAGGGGCTCCAGATTCTGAAGCAATCCCTGCTGAGAAGACGTCAACTGTCGAAAATTCTGGAGTCGAGAAAACGAAGACGTCGCTTGCAATTGCCCCGAAGAAAGGAGCTCCTCCAAAAAAGACGCCGACAGCCGCTCCAGACGGAACGAATTCTGAAGCGACTCAGGCTGAGAAGAAGGTTCTTGACCTCCCTCCGCAGAAGAAGATCGCAGAAGTGACAAAGTCGACGTCGGAAAAAGTTCTGGAAGATCCGACTCGGATTGAGAAGACGTCCCAGAACAACGCCGTCGTGGAAGAAATCCAGAAAGACGTCTCCGAAAAAAGGCTGAAGGAAGAGAAAGTAGTTCTAGAGGATTCTGTAGCGGCTCAGATTGTGAAGACGTCGCAGATCATCGTCGTCGCCGGAGAAGTGATCATGGGAACCAAGAAGACTTTAGAAGAAGCTCCTAGACCTGAGAAGACGTCGAAGAACAACGCCGTCGTCGAAGGATCCAAGAAAGATGCCATATCAGAAGTGACGAGACAGTCGGGCGGAACCAAGAAGACGTCGATAGAAAATCCTGAAAATTCTCAAGCAACTCCGCTTGAGAAGACGTCGCAGAACAACGCCGCCGTCAAAGAAGTGATGAAGCCACTTGATCGAACCAGGAAGACGTCGGAAATAGTTCTGGACGATTCTGAAACAGAAGTCGTCGAAGAAGTGGTGAAACAGTCGGGTCGAACTAAGAAGGCGACGAAAAAACTTCCTTCTGAAGCAACTCGGCTTGAGAAGACGTCACAGAACAACGTCGTCGTCGAAGAAGTGATGAAGGAGGTTGACCGGACCAAGAAGATGTTGGATGATCCTTCCATCCCGAAGCAGAACATCCCTTACGAGGAAACGCCGAAAAGGACCCTAAGAACCGAAAAAAAGAAGCCGCACTTCAGTAGCTCCTCCTCCAGCGACGGCTCCTTCGACGACGCCCTTGTCCTTTCCGAAGTCGCCCGAAAGAAAAACCTGCCCGAAGATCCCTTGGAAAAGTCGCATCTGCCGGCTGAAGACGTCGAAAAGACCCCGAAGAAAGCCTCGACGAAGAAGAGAAGCGACGACGACCCCGAAGTCTTCGCCATTGGAACTCGTCTGCCGAAAAGCTCCGGGGTTTCCTACAGAAAGGTTCTTTCTTACGATATCTAGAACATTTTGAAATAAGAAAAAATTGGTATCTCCAACAAGGTATTTTGAAGGAATTGAAATAAAAAAACTAATATAAAAAAATTCCCAGGGTTTCTTAAAAAAATTGGTTTTTTTCTTTTTCAAAAGCCTCAAAAAAATGAGAGAAGTTTGGATACATTGCCAAGAAGGATTTTTTTGATCAGTTCGAAGTAGGAGAACATAAATTCTCTTTTTGAAGCTCTGTATGACCAACCTAAAAAAAACACTGGGAATTTTATTCAAAAACTGCAAAAGAGGTTTTTCTTAAAAAAATTAAATGAAGTTTAAAAAAACCTCATGTCGAAAAAAACACTCAAAGAAAGTTCGTTTTTGTTCCAGATTTTAAAATTGAAAAGTAATTTAGAAAAAAATGAAGATTGAGAAAGAAATTTTTCTGTTCAACTTGAAGTCCAAAGAACATTCCAGGAAAAATAATGATTATTTTGGTTTTTTTGAACAGAATATCTTCAAAAAAATTTCGTAATACTCTTCGTGGAAAATATCCGTTTTTTTGGTCGATTAGAATCTTAAAAAAAACATTTTTTTCGTGAGCAAAGTATTTTTTTCAAAAATTAAAAAAAGTTTGAGAAAACTTTGATTGGGGATTTTGCCGAATTTCTATTCGATTTTTTTCTTATTCTTTTTAGCAAAAAAACTGGGCAAAATAAACGCAAAAATCTCACTTTCTCAAAGACTAAAAAAATCATTCGAGATGAATTAAATTTTAAAAAAATGCTGATCTCTTTTTGAGCAGAAAAAAATATTGTGTTGTCAAAATTTGCTTTTTTTCACGTGAAAAATTGGTTTAATTTGTTTTTGATAGTCAAGAAGCTGAATTTCAGATCACTGGATTAAAAAAATTTGCATTAGTTCAATTTCAGGTCGTCCAAAGAAGGCCGCCGCCTCAATTCTCAAAAAAAGTAATTTTTTTCCCGGAATTCCAATAAATACGCTTTTTTTCAGCCGAAACTTCCAAAAATGGCAATAAAATTGCATCTTCGTCTCTTGGAAGAAATTCGGTGCAGAAACCCCGAAAAAAATGGTGAAAAATTGTATATTTTTTTCTATATTTTTCATTTTAATGTAATAACAATGAAAACGAATTTCAAGTTGAAAAAAACCAAAATTTTGCAGGAGTTTCCGGGTTTCCAACCAAAAAGCGTCGCATCATTGGCAATTGGAAAAAGATGGAATGGTTTTTTTCTATTAATTTACGTGGAAATTGTAAAAAAATTATTTTTTTCAGCAAATTCTGAGTGAAGACGTCGCCACGATGCTCCTTTGAAAAAAAGCGAAGGTAAGAAAAAAAATCTGATGGAAAAATAAATTTTGAGAATTATTGTTGAAAAATATCCACAGAAAATCCTTGGAAATCCGATTTTTTTCATTTTGAATACTAGGAATATTTCGAATTTCTTTTTTTTGGGTCTTGAAGTTTTCCCTAAAGGGCTTTTCAATAAGAAAAAAACCTTCTCAAATTCATTTTTTTCGGAGTTTTTTTGAGAATTTCTATAGCCTTTTGAAAGTATATTTAAAACATACCACATTTAAACCTTTCAACCAGTGGAATTTATTATTTTAGGACTTTTATTCCTTCTTAAAAGTGAGTTTTTCTTTTAGCAACTTCCAAAAAGAAATATTTTTAGATTTTTGAATTCAGGAATTTTATCATTTTTCAAAAGTATGAATTGGATAATCATTTCAAGAAGCCTATAAGAGTGAGATTTTAGAAATCTGGTCTTTTTACCCCTTTCAACTGAGTTTTAGGCTTTTCACTATAAGAACACCTGTGAAAATTATTAGTTTTATTTTAAAACTTTTATAACTTTTTTAAATGTGGCTTCAAATAAGTAAGATTTCAGTTTTACATTTCAGGGCCTTATAACAGTAATATGTTAGCATTTTCCTTCAGAACCTAATGAAAGTGGGATTTTAGAAATTCCTTTTGGTATCACATCAACTTTCAACTGTTAAATTCTAGGTTTTGCACTATAAAAAGTTCTGACTTGTGAGAATTTGAATTTTAACTCGAAAAAACCCATTGAACTGTTAAATTTAAGAATTTTAGCTCATGCAAACAAATCAATTTTTGATTTACCAAAACAGGAATAACAGATTATAGACTTTTCATAAAAATTTATTGACCTCTACTCAATGCTCAAAAAAGTTGGTGAAAAAAGTACCGCAATGATTTTTCTGTTTAAATAATTTTCTTAAGCAAATTTCTGCCTTTAACGGTAAGATTTTAGAGTTTGATTTGGGTTGATTTATATAGTGGGATTTTTAAATTTGTTTCCAAGACTTTTCTCTTCTTTTGCAGCCAATTTTGAAATTTTCCTTTAGCGCCTTATACAAAAAAGGAGATTTTATAGTTATATTGCGGGATTTCTTCCGCGTTTTTCTTCACAAAAACGACTTTCAGGCCTTCGAACACAGTATCAATGAAGACCTGGTCCGTCTGCCCAGTCAAATGGACGAAGAGGAACGAATCGCCCACGAAATCGCGATGAAAGAACAACTCCGACAGAAGGAAGCCAACGACTTGGCGATCCAGAGACGGATTCAAGACGAAGAACGGAGGATCGTCCGGGAGAAACTCGAAAAAGAGTGGATGGAGGAGAAATTGGCCAAGAAGGAGGCGCAAAAACAGAAAGTGAGAAAATTTATCGAGAAAGTTTTTAAAAAAAAAGAGAAAATTGATCTCCGCGCTTGCTCAAGTTCCACAGGAAAATTGAGTCAGGTCTTTGAAAAATTAGTTTTTGGCCAAAAATAGATCTTTGTGCTTTTTACAACTGTTTTTCGTAAAATTTTCAAAAATGGCTGATTTTCAGTCGTCTAAAATAAATTTATACAGATAAGCCAGGCTTATTTTGAAAAAAAAGGACCAGATAGCTGCTGGAAAGGCTCAGAAATCAAAAAAATTAGTCGAAAAAAATTACAAAAAAAAATGGATCCCCCGATTGCTTGAGTTCCACAGGAAAAATTATGTGAGGTCTTTGAAAAAAATCCTTTTTTTGGCCTAAAAACATCTTTTTCTCATTTTTTTAAACTTTTTTTCAACGTTTGGAAGCAAATTCAACAGAATTTTTGAAAAAAAGGACAAAAAAATAGCTGCTCTAAAGCTCTTTTGGCGCCATCATGTAGTCCTTTTTCCGTAATTAACACATTTTTAAAAAAATCTGTTTTTAAAACTTGGTACCGAATTTGATAAAAAAATTATGGTTTTTATTTGTAGTTTTAATACAATTTTCTTGACATTAAGATCCACAAACTCGTGAAAAATCTTCGAATTTACCAAATATATAACTTTCTGCAAGGTCCCATTCGAATCTTTTTAAAAATTTGTGTTCAAAACAGTTCCAAAAAAAACATTGGAAAAAAATTTGAGTCGAATTATTGTCTGAAAATGTTTTGAAATGGACTCACTATAACGAATATTTTTTGGTCTACCCGCTGACCGCAGATCACGTTTTGTCCTGAGCTTATCTCCAACGCATCATTCTTTCGTAACTCGCCAAAAAATATCATTTTTCTTCATTTTCTGTTTCCATTTTCTCTTCCGTATTGTATTCAGTGGAAAGTTATTTTTCCCTATTTTCCTTTAAAAACTTGTTGTTTTCGACGTTTTCTGATAAGATAATATCTATGAGAAGGTTCAGATATAGAAAAGTTAATTTCAGTAAAAAATAATACTGATAGAAGTCATTTTCGAGTTTCAGTAAAACGCTTTTCCACTTTTTGACTTCAGTTTTAGTTTTTTTTTTTCGTTATCTGTCGTTTGAATGAACAAGTTTTGCTTCTTTTTTCTTTCGACGACAAAAATAATACTTGCAATGGCTCTCCGTCTCGAGATTTGCTGTAAATTAACTCTATGAAAACTTCAGCGAATTTTAGAATGAATCGTTCATTTTTCATCCGTAGCATCACTCAAAAGGATTTTGGGACCATTCCAGTTACTTTTGAACTTGCATTGTTTTTTTTTTAAATGATCACCACCAGATTCCGATTTTTTTCAATGTCTTTCAATTCGGGAATGTAGACAGTTTCCTCATACTTTCAACTTCAACTTTCAGGTAATCAAGAGATCTCCGGGCAGTAACCGTGTCCGTTTCGGAATCGAAAACGATCTGGAAATCGTCAAAGTTCTACCGCCACCACCGCCACGCTCGCCTCCACCTCCGCCGCCACCGCCGCGAACAAAATCCAGAAAAATATCTCCGATCCCGCCTCCGCCGCCGCCTCGAGAGAGCCCCGTCGAGCAGCCCAACGTGTAAATTGCCATTGAAAACTCGAAAAAAAAGCCATTTTCATCCTCAAAAAAAGTATTATAATTCTGCGCCGGGTGGCCCGCTAGAAAAAAAAAGCTTCATAATTTTCTCTCATATTTGCCACGTGGATCAACGGGCGCACCCGGATTAAGCCCGTGTTTTTTTAGGGTTTCGGATACTCATTGGGGCAAAAATGGGAAAAAACAGGTGCATTAAGAAATGAGTGACCCAGCTAAGTTAATAAGAAAATTTGAGACCCAAAGGGGCCTTATCTGTGCTTTTAAAAAAACGCCAATTGACTCAGAGGCTGCGCTCATACGGGCACACCCACTGATTGCCCGTTTTAGCCCGTCTGATCCCTCATCAGCATAAGAAATTTATGCTTGGTAATTGGTAACGCGAAACGGACGTGCTCCGGACGCTTCTGGGCGATTCTAGGTATCACATAAGAGTGCTGAGGCTACCAAAGTGGTCCTTAAAGATGTCCCGACGCGTCCGATTCGCGTCCCGTTCGCGTTACCAAGGTCCGAGCAGATCATTTCAAAACTCTACCAAAAATAAAGTTAGTACCACCTCGAGGTTAACACTTGTTATATTGGTGCCAAAACTCCTCTCCCCCTGACAAGGAAAATGATTCTATTTTGAGAAACTCCTGAAAATTAGCCAGACTACTTTTTGATGTACCAGAAAATGATCCTGTAAGTAGCAAACTCCCAAACTTGCCAATTTCCCAGAATAGACACCTCAAAATTGAAGAGAACCCTCAAAATCCGTAGGCCTTTTTTGGCTTTGAGTCTTTATTTCTCAAAAACTACGCAGTTTTGAATATTTAGTCTTTCTGGATCTTTTTTTCGATGCTTCAAGGAGTTGATCTGGCCAAGTAAAAATAGCAGAAAAACGAAGAGAATCCTCAAAAATCGGGTTAAATATTTTTTTTAGGCAAATTGAAAGTAATGTTCGAAATTCAAAAAAAGAAGTAAAATTTTGCAGAAAGTGCGAAAAATTTGAAAATCATCATGATCAGTATTCATTTTCATGAAAAAGTTTGTCTAAATGAAGACATTTTCAGCGCTTTTCTCACAAATCTACTTCTTAAACGATTTTTATGACGACTTTCTAGCCCAATTGAAAATTAATAAATAAGCCGTTTTTCAAACTATAATCGACATATTTTTAGGACAATGGTTAACAACAACAACCAAATCTCCAACTATAACTACGCCCTTCCTCCTCCGCCGAACTGTTCGTTTCCTTAATTTCCAGAATATTTTCCTAATTTTCCAAATTCAGGGCCTTTCCCACCGCCACCCTTCTATCCGCCCGAACAGCAGCATTACTGTCAGTTTATTTCGAAAATCAAAAATATTGACTTTTTGATGATTTTCAGACCAGAACTACATGGCCCAAAATCAGGTGGCAGCCTACGGTCCGAATTACAGTTGGTTTTTTTTTTCGACGATTTTTTGAGGCCGATGAACATGCAATATTGAACAAGCATTTTTAAAAAGATAAAGTAAAATTTGAATTTTCCAGGTGACTACTACATGCAGAACGGTCAAGTGGCTCCTTACAATCATAGTTTCGGTATATTGATTTTTTTTTTCTTGAAGTTCAATGAAAAGAGTTTGGAAAGTTGAGAATTTAAGAAAAAAATATTTCGACGAAATCCAAGAATAAAATTGAATTTTGAAGAGTTTAGAGAGTTCAGGATCATTAATCGTGATTTTAAAAAAAACCTGATAGTTTATTTTTCTGAAACGTTTTGCCATGCTGAAGTGAAAATATACAAATTTTTTTATAGAACAAGTGGATCAGAAGTTTTTGGATAGAATAATTCTTATGAGATTCACGACAATATCGAAATTTTTATTTATTTATTCATTTTTTTCTTTTGATAGTGTTTCTAAAATCATTCGAAGGTCAATTTGAACTTTGAACCTGATTGGGTCTCTTTTTTTCCCTTTCAAAACCGAAAAAAACTCTGTTTTTGTGAATGATTGGAAGGATTTTTTTGAGCTTACGTAAATTACGAGAAGCTGTTCATTTTCAGAAAATTCATAGAAAAGAATCATATGATCGCATTTATTTATTTTTGAAAAAAAGCAATTTACATTTTCAAACAAAGTATTTTTCAAAGCGATAAAAAAATCGAGTAAAGGAAGCTATACAGAAATGGTTTTTTATCGGGTAAAACTTGAAAAAAAAATTTTTTTAATATTTCAGTGAAAAATGCTTTGAAATACCGTTATGTGTGTTTCAAGGAAAGTTTGGAGTCGATCCGTCAACTAGGAAAAAAGTTAGAAAATTTCACTAAAAGACCTACCGTAACCCAGTGAGGGGGCGGAGCCTCACAGTAACTAGCCTAAAAGTTTACAAATTATGTCTAGTAACTGTGACAACAATTTAAACTCTCAAAACAAAACATGAAATTCTTGTACCAACGCTTCACTGCAGTTCATCGACTTTCTCAGAAAAGGTGTGTTAAAAAGAAGAGTCTTAGAATGAAACGTTTTTTTATAGATGTTTGAAGGAACTTTAGAGAATAAATTTTGTAGCTTCAGTTAAGTTTTCCGTTTTTAAGCAACTCAGAAAAAAAGCTCATAAATAAACTGAAATAAAAAAAAATAAATTTATGAAGGAGAAATGAGAAAAAAAGAAGCTTTTAGGACTCGAATTTTTGAACGAAAATCTTCTATGAATTGACTATAAACGACATATTTTTAGCTGCCCATCAAGCTCAACAGTATCATTATCAACATGGATACCGGGCTGGTTATGCTGCTCCACCGGGCGGGTTCTTCAATAATCATCCCGATTTTTCACGGCCTCCTCCTCCGCCTCCTCCACCTCCTCCTCATAACCAATATATCCCGAATCATGCTTGGGTAAGCCCTAGGAGAAATGTGGGCAATGAAGAATCGCCTTGAAATTCTACAAAAATTTGTAATTTTAGCCGAAAATCGTGCAAAAGATAAGTCAGAGATCAGTTTTTTCCTGAAACTAGGAGTAGCTGAAGTGGGCCCTGAAGGGGTTTTGAGGTCTAGGGGGTCCTAAGGAATGGTATAAGAACCTCCTGAAGGGATTTACACCAAGGACCCCGAGGAGGCACTTGAAACCACTTTTCCATTGAGGAAATTTCACATTTAAGCCCCTAGAATAGCGGGGAATTCACACGAACTGCAAACTGTCTAAAGTGAGTCTTAAATGATCATTTAGGGGTACTATAGGGGGCGAAAAACAGGGACCTCCAGTATACCTCCGTAGGGGTTTTTTCCCCTAGAGGGCCCGCTTTAGCTTTTTGCAGAACCTCCTTCTTTACCAGGAAAAAATCGAGTCATGGGGCTCCACAAAGACTACTTGTAAACTACACTAAAGTGGCCACTAAAACCACCTCTATAGTAGCCACTATTTTTCGCCTTAGTGCCCATTATAGTAGTTTTTAGTGGCCTAGTTGAACCACTCACACTTCTAAAGAGGAGACTGATTTTTGGTCACTAAAGCGGCCACTAATTCGACTACTATAGTGGCCACTAAAGCGTCAAAACCGGAATTGGTCAATAGACGCTTTCGCACTACCTTAGATTTTCCGAGTTTTCTTGTCTACGAGAAACCCATATCATCCTTTTTTTTTTTGATTTTGATAATTCTATAGTTCATAGTTACAAATTCCTGCAGATTTTCTCTCCAACTTGAAACGTTTTCAGAAAGATCGTTTCTCTCCGCCGAATCGAGAACCTTTCGTTCCACCTCCGAAAGTTCCGAATCAAGTTGTTCAGTTCAAGCCGCCGAACGTTCAGAAGGTTAGTTTTCCAAAAAAGGGTTGAAAAAAAGCCAAAGGGATAAATTCGGAGCTTTTGATGAGATGGGTCGACCCGGGACGGTAAAATTGTCAAAAAAGGCCGTTTTTTTATAATTGTTTCACACAATCACATCATTTTTTTCTCATTTTCAACCTCTGGTCTTCCCGGGGCGATGACTTCAAAGTGCGGGTCGACCCGGGGCTAGCCGACCCTCGAAGCGATCACATTGTAAAAAGAGCCACTTTTCTTAATGCTATCACACAATTTCAACATTTTTTTTTCTCATTTTCAACCTCTGGTCTTCCCCGGGCGATGACTTCAAAGTGCGGGTCGACCCGGGGCTAGCCGACCCGTGAAGGGATCGTATCGTCAAAAGAGCCACTTTTTCTCGATTTTTTTCACCCATCATCATCATCACCAATATTTATTGGTTGTTTTAGTCAGATGGAACCGACTAGGCGGTGAAAAAATTGCTCTTTTGAGCGGCACTAACACCGCCTTTGGCGAAAAAGAAGTCAAAACGTGTAGTTGATTGAATCTAAAGCATGGTCTTACGATCCTTCTCCTCGCTCTTCCACAAGTAGATCCATCAGTTCCGCTTGTACGGGCACGGCGGTGATGGTGGAGCTCGGGAAATACACGGAATGAATTTAGAATATTTTTTCTTATTTTCAACTTTGCTCGACGGGTCGTCCCCGGGCGGCTACTTCTAAACGCGAGTCAACCCGGGGCGTCCCATCGGCAACCATATATAGTACTGGTCGTAACCCAAACTTTCGATCGTATAGTTATAGAAAAAAAATACAAGGCTGATGTATGATTTCAAGGTTTGTCCTTGCAGAATCCTGATCCAATTGTCGAGTTCCCGGAGCCGCGACGCTCGCGCCTCGACAGCTCTGAAACGACGAGGAAGCGCAAACTCAGTGGAGGAAACGACGTCGAGAAGGTCTGCTTCTTTTTTTTTTCTTAGTTTTTTTTTTTTTTGAAGTATATCAATTTCTTTCTAACCTTCAGTAAATTTGAAAGAATCTCCACCATGAAGGTCATTTTTTATTGTCTTTCCAGTAGACTCAAAAAAAATTACAGAAGTTGTTTGCCCTGAAGAGTTAATTACTGGAATCAAAATTTTTGCATCTTCCATTTTTCTGGCGTATGTTATAGACAGAAAATCAAAAAAAAAAGTTCATTTCTGAGAGGTTTTATTTTCTCTGACACTTTTGGGGGCGGAATTTTATCATTTTCAAATGATATTCACTTTCCCTTTTCACAGCGAAAAACATTAATGAGTGATAAATCCTGAGAGTTTTTTTATGATTTTTTTAGCGGCATTCTAGAAAATACGGTCTTTTACAAAATGCGACCCCTTTTTGTGCTCCACTACAAATGAATAAAATACGGGCGTTTTTTTGAATTTTTCATTTTTTTAAATTAAAGGAAATTCTAATTTTTTTCAATAGCTTTCTGATCAGTATAATGGTGCCTCTTGTTTGTTTTTGATAATATATTTTTTCAAACAATTTTTCAAGATTTGTTTTGTCCCAAACTCAACTGATTTCACCTTATCCCGGTTAACACAAATTCATGAACTGTATGAAATGGTTTAAAATGCTCCTAATCAGAGGCTTTTTTGAGCAATCAACGAGAAGTGTTTGATAATGAATTCATTTATTCCGTCGGAGTACTTTTTTGAATAGTTTTTTTCAAAAAGGAAATATAGGAAAAAATACAAAATTCGAAAAAAAAAAAGTGGGAGAGAAAATATTAATGCCCATATTTCATTGATTTGCAGTGGAGCAGAAAAAAGCGTTCGCACCGGTCGCCTTTTGGAAACGCCCGTACTTTATAGCATGCCAATTTTAGATGCAAAAAATGTTTTTTCTGCTCCTAATTTAGCGTTTGATTGGAAAAATTCGAGTTAGTCGGAAAAGATAAAAAAAAATTTTAATGAAGGCTTGGATATCTGAAAATTTAATAATAAGGTTCGGTCAAAAATGAAATATTTCAATAAAGTAGCAAATAAACTGCAATAAGTTAATGGATATGGACCTAATCAAGAAAAAATAATGAAACTGATTTGAAATACGAAAGGCCAGAAGTCAATAAAATAATTTTCCAAGTTGAGAAAATTCCCTTACAGACTCCGCCTGCAACCATGGAAGTACCGGCGGCCGTCGAGAAAGAAAAAACGAAGATTTTTGTCATAACTGAACCTCCGAAAAGGAATTTCAACTCTGGAATGGTAGGTTTTGCTTAGTTTTGTTGGAAAATTATTTGAAGTTTTGAAAAAAAAAAATCTACTTTTTGGTTAATTTTTGAAAGTTGCGCCCGGTTTTCTGACTGTATATTGAAAAAGAAATTGTACATGCTTGTGAATATTTTTCTCTGGATTTTTCTTGGGTCTTTTTACCTATCAGCAAATATTTTATTAAGAGAAAAAAATGAATGAATAATCTTAAAAGTCAACATTTTTCACGCAGATTTGATCTTCTTGCAGCAAATTTTGACCGATTTATTTTTGATTTTTGCAAAGTTAATTTTAAATAACCATTGAATTGAATAATGAAGCATTTCTGAGCGAAAATATTAGAGTTATATTTTTTCGCATTTTTCAAAATATTTTCTCAATTTCAAAATGTTTTGTTTAATTCAGTCAATGGTTACGGTAAATCTCGTGACAGGACCTCGCTGTGATCGCTTCCGAGCGATTGGGACAGAAAAATTCAATTTTCATAAAAGATTAACTCGGAGAGCAATAGAAGAGCGTAAATTACTGAAAAATAAAACCAAAAAGCTTGTTTTTTGATCACTTGATTTGATTCTTTTTTCAGACGAGGGGTTTTGGTAGAGGCCGTGGCAGGATTTCGCCGTTCTCGTCTTCACGCGAAGTAAGCCCAAAAATCGGAATTTTTCAAATATGCTTTTTTTGAACAAAAATAATTTCCGATTTTTTTTTCCTTTATTATGATTGATCGGGATCTGACCAATTTTTTGGTCATTTGAACAAAAAATGAGGAAAATTTTTCCCGTCTAATAGCTATACTACCGATATTTTTTATTTCTGTTTTTAATGATCCTTTTTTCCAGATTTCAGCCATTGGTTATGGAAGGGGACGTGGCAGGTCTCCGTCGAGTTCGCCACAGCGCAAGGTGAGTACAAAAAAAGGAGTTGGAAAAGATGGTCCCCTAGAGTGATCCTAACTGAAATTCCTAAAGTTGTCCCTTTGCAATCATAGGAGGAGGTAAAATGGTTCCCTGTGGGCAGCCTACAAGAGGCCCTAAAGTGCCACTCTAGGGACCACTTCACGTTTCATTTAGAGTTACATTTCGGCTTGAAAAAGTTTTTAAAAAATCTGTTTGACTTTTGAATTCGCAGTTCATCCACCCAATTTTCGAGCTTTATACTTTTCGGGCTTGAAACCTTTAAAAAAAGTGGCGACCAACCAAAAGCCCTAAAGTTTCCCCTTTTGCAAGAATTGGTGCCACATTAGGAGGAGGTAAAATGGTTCCCCCGAGCGGAGCCTACAAAAGGTCCTAAAGTTGCCCCTTTGGCGATCCTAATTTTTTCCAAAATTTCATGTCTTCAGAACAGACTTGACATGTATTTGAAGGATAGTCGAAAATTATCATTTTGTGCAGACGCCGGAATATGATAGAGGTCGTGGAAGATCGCCAAGTCGCTCTCCCCCGAGAAAAGAACGCAAACGCGCTCGGAGCTACAGCCGCGACAGCGACAGCGATTGAATTTTCCACAAATATCCATTGAATACCCGAAACCTTTCCTTTTTGGCCCGATCTTCTGCATTTTCATCCCGATTTTTCGCGTTTAGATTTATTGAATTTTCCCCTTCTTTGCCGCTTTGAAACGCTCGTCGAACCAATTCTGAGCCCATTGGAAATATGAGAACTTTGAGTCGCGGCTATTTTTCTCAACATTTTTTTCCCTTTTTGCCCCGGTATGAAGCTTTTATGAACCTTCATTTGGTCTCTATTAACAAAACTTCGAAAAAGTATTTGTTAAAAATGATTTTCTAATCATTTCAATAACGGTTCCTATATGTGTACACTTTTTTTCAAAAGCTTTCGTGAAATTACGGATTCCCCATTGCAGATTTCCCAGGAACTTGTTGAAAGCACATTTTCTTCTCAAGTTATTTGTTGCTTTTCTTTTTTTATGTCATTTTCCGTCCGGTCGATTAACCCAAGCCTTTTTTGTAATAATCATCTTCAAATTTTTGCTGATTTCGTAGCTTTTGAGGAAAAAGTTATGAAAAATATAGTTTATTTTAGTTAATCGACCGTTTTCCCTTTGTTTCCATTGTCATTCTCCGTTCGGTCGAATAACCCTAAACTTTTTTGTAACGTTAATTTTCGAATTTTCTCTGATATTAGAGTTTCGGAGGAAGTTTAATGAGTTTTTTTTGTTAATCGACCTTCTTAATGCTTCTTTTTTGTGTCGAATTACACTCACATGATATTATGTATTCAGAAAATGTTGTTTGCTTCTTTTATATTTGCATAAAGATTTATTGTAGAACTTTTTTTGGTATTTATGGATTTCTTTAGATGTATAATTGGATCACTGGAAAAATTTTTTTGAATATTTTTTTCATAAAATTTACCGAAAACTCGCTTTTTTTCGAATTTTTAAAACATTTCGTTGAAAGCGTTATGTTTTTGACAAATTTCATTTTTTTCTCAGTTGTAAATCATCCAAAAGTAATTAAAAAAACGAAATTTTTGAGACGTGCCTTTTTCAAAAACGGATGATGTAATTTCGAACAAAAAAATTTCAAAACTCCAAAAAAAGTTCGTTAAAATTTTTTTGAAAACGTTTTGATTTCTAGTTTTTTTCATTAAACTCGAAAAGGGGGGAAATATAAAGGGAAAGAACGAAAATTTGTGAGAAAGCTTTTAGTTGAACGATTGTCAAAAAAATCAGATCTGAACATAAATTCAAAAAATTGATAAATTTGTAAAAAAAAAATAATGCTTTTGTAGAGTTTTGCGCGAAATATTAAATGTGTTAGCGCTTGTGTTGTGTGCACGTGCTGCGGACGCTAAAAAGGCTAATCAATAACGTTGTAAATTAAATTTTTTTTTTCTCGTCTCCGACAAATTTTTCAGAACCCTTCGTGATCGCCTAGACGCAAAAATACTTGAACGACAAAAGAAAGGCGAGTCAAACTTTGCATCAAAATTGTTACGATCAGCTCTGCAATTGGAGATGCAGAAATGTCGGAAAAAAAAATCATGAGTCGTTTAAAGAAAAATTTTCTAAAGTACTCGTTGATTCGAAGTTGAGTACAATAGACGGACAATTTCGAGCATGCATCAAGAAATGGGAAGTATAAGGCGCCAAAAATCGCCACTGAGCACCAAGTTGAGTGAAGATAAGCTTTCTCGAAAAATCTTCGCGAGAAATAGCGGAGAGCTGATTTAACCGTAAACGAAGCAAAGCAAGAACCGGCTGATCACAAAGCTGGGGAAGCTGAATTAATTTTTTGATCAGTTCATTGCCCAAGTGACTTGCACGATGTCTGATAAAGCTGCGACACATCTGAAGTTCAACGAGTTAGTTGAACACTATCGTGCAACGGTTACTCCAGCCGTAGTGAGCGGTTGAAGTGACAGGTTCATGGGATTGCTAATTTTGCTCGTGCCGCTCTTGATGGTCTTTCAGAGCACGAAGTCTTGTCTCCGGGAAGAGCATAGTCGACGAACCAGCGGTGCTGCGACGGGTGAAGTGGCTCGACACTTCGGCGATCGCACGGGATTTTTTTTTTGCGAAGCATGGATGGCAGAAAAAGGCTTGTTTCGTTTTTCTTTCTCTTCTTTTTTTTCAATATTTCGTTTGTACTGGATGCTCTTATTTTCTACCATCGCCAACACTTGCGAAAATCCATAAGTGAGTTCGTTTCTGAGAAAACGGAAATGGTAGTTATTTCGGAGCTTCTTGCAGACGAGCTTGCCACTTCTCATCTTCAAGTGTTGGGGCTCCTCGATCAACTGGTCACAGGTCCCCTCTGGCGTTTGGCGGAAAATTCAAAATCTCATGGGGGTCGGCTATTTCATCAAAAAGAGAAGCTACGCGATGTGCTCCAGCCACGAATAAACTCATAGAGAATTATTTTCGTTACTTTTCCTACCTCAAAAACAAGGCCCCAAACATGAACATGACGAGGTGCGAAGCGGTAACCCTGATCAATAGGAACCAAATCATGGAGTGGTTCCAATCCTTTTTGCCTGAAGAACAGAACGAATGTTTGGATGGGATTCGACAGGAGACGGGTGAAACTTTGAAATCAGTTGATCAATAGCGCGATGATTTATCAAGAAAAAAGGCCAAAACGCTTCAAAAAACGGCCCAGAAATTGTTCAGTAAGCGGTCGGAGACTTCTGATTCACCCTGTTGCCTTATTAGATTGATGGGGGAATGAGAAGCTCTTTCTGCACAGCTTCGTTTTAGGCAGAGATTTCTCCGTTCGTCTTCAAACTCCCTAAATTTTCGCTTTCCAAATAATCCTTCGAATTGTCACTCTTTTTCTGTGAGCAAAACAAGGGAGACTGGCGGGAGTGTTATCGGTGAGCCAAGGTCAGCTGACGGACTCCTCACCCCAATCCTTATCATTCGTTATCAGAAGATTGTTTTCGAGCCGACTGGCCAGTTGGGCTCAGAACTTTGGCTCGTCGAGTCGTCCATTTCTGTCTCAATGAAACATTTATTGCTATTAACCTTGCTTTTTATTGGAGCTTCAGCCGTTCTACGCCCTTCTCGACCTTACAGAAAGTTTTTCCGCGTTGCTAGGTTTATCATTTTTTTCAAAAGTAAAGTGGCCCCTTGATGGAAAACCTTAGCGGACCTTGAAGATTTACAAAGGGGTCACTAAAGCTTGCAGAGGTGGTCGCTCTAGGCTTCTAATTAGTAGTCATGCTATATGATAATTTTTTTTACCGTTTTTCTAATCAGAAAAAAAAATAAACTAACATTTAATCGATTTTTCCACTATATTTTTTCCACTATATTTTTCCGAATTTTCCAGCGAGCCCGGAGATGAAGGAGAAACCTACGCTGTTCTCGTAGCCGGCTCCAACGGCTGGTATAATTACCGGCATCAGGTGAGCTTTCAGGAGAATTCGAAGAGAAAACACCTTTATCACACAATTTCCGGTTTCAGGCGGATGTCGGGCATGCCTATCAAACTCTCATAGCCCACGGAATTCCCGCTGAAAACATCATCACAATGATGTACGACGACGTCGCTCACAGTGAAAAGTGCTCCATTGACAAAATAATTGAAAATTAAAATATTTTTTTTAGCAACCCATACAAAGGGAAACTGTACAATCGCCCTCATGGAAAGGACGTCTATAAAGGAATTAAGATTGACTACAAGGTATGAATAATTAATTTCAGAAATTGTAGTGGAAACTTTATAACTTTGCATCAAAAAAATTTAATTTTTAGAAGGAACTTCAAAAAAATATTCTTTTTTTAACTTTTCTTAACCCTAAAAAAAGGAGAACCGTTTTGGTACTTTTTTTAAACACTTCAAATTCAATTTTTTTTCAATGATTCTTAGCTTTCAAATTTGTATTCCGAGCCATTTCAGGGAGATGATGTGACTCCTCATAATTTCCTGAAGGTTATCACTGGAAATGAGACTTCCGCTCATAAGAAACCAGTTTTGAAAACGTAATTTTTTAAATGTTAATAGAAATTTGAGATAAGAAAAATTTTAGCACCTCGAAGGACCGAATTTTCATTTATTTCACTGATCATGGCGCCGTGGGACTCGTCTCGTTCCCTAATGAAATCGTACGTTTTTTTTTGGTTTTCAGAATTCATGTACAAAAAATACATCTACGGTTATTTTTACAATTACTAACTTAAATCACTATATAAGAATAGAAGCTCTTTGAAAAGTTATTTCATCGTTGGCTTATAGTCTGTTTACCACGGCTTAAAATTTCACCAAACGACATTCCGCTGCTCCGCTGTGCGCTTTTGCGAACCTTGGTCGCGTTTTTAATTTTTTTTTTTCTTTTATCAAGGTACTCTACTTTCATGTACTCCAACAGAAATAACAATCAATGGAATGCGTGGCCTATATTCAAAAGACGCTTCGCGAACGCGTGCAGCGGAACAGCGGAAAGCCGTTCGGTGAAATTTCAAGTCGTGGAACACAGACTATATCAGCAGCGGACACTCGAAAACTGCGGAGGATATAAAAAAAATTTCCTTTTCAGCTGACGGTCTCTAAATTGATCCGCACTTTGGAATCGATGCACAAAGATAAGAAATATTCCCAGTTGGTCTTTTATTTGGAAGCTTGCGAGAGCGGAAGCATGTTCGAGTCCGTTCTCCGCAACGATCTCGACAGTTTGTTTTTTTTTTTTGGAATTTCATAAAGGGATGTTAAAAAATAAAAGAAAAGTTTCCATTTTTTTTATGAATAAGTGATTCGCTATTCGTTACTTTCCGATATGGACTTTATTTTAACTTGTTTCATTTTTAGTTTACGCCATAACTGCTGCGAATAACCACGAAAGCTCCTGGGGAACTTATTGTGAAAACGACATGAAACTTCCTTGTTTGGGCGACTTGTTCAGTGTCAACTGGCTGGACGATAGTGATTCGGTAGGTTTATAAGCAGTAATCAAAGATTCGTTTTGAAACTTTTGAAAGGAGTTCATCGGAAAATTTTGAAAATTCACTCAAAAAACCTAAAGTCAGTTTTTTGGTTCTTCAGCGGCTGCGGAGACCTCCTATATTTTCTCGATCCAAAAGAGCGACTTCCAGAAAATTATCAAAAAAATTTTTTCATATGTTTAGGAGGACCTCGCAAGCGAAACCCTCGAATATCAGTACGAATTGGTGAAAAAGAAGACGAATCTTTCTCACGTCATGCACTATGGCGACTTGAGCATCGCCAGCGAGGTCGTCGGTTTGTTCCAGGGCGAGAAAACTCTTGAACACAGGCTCCGGAGACCCAAATCTTTGGTATTGAGAGGGGTTTCGAAAAGCCTAGAAAGATTCGCTTCAGGACCCGTCTCGCGCCGTCAATTGGCCTTCCAGAGACATTGAGCTGAATCATTTGAAATCGCAGTACTCCCGGGTTAACGGTGTCTATGAGAAGAGTAAAATTGCGCGTCGTGTTCAACAGATTTACAGGGTTTGTTGGGGTACCGTAGTTTCCTAGTTTTGAGAGAAAGAGTCCAAAAAATGAACTTTTGAAACGCAAAGCGTTTTTCAGAACCGCAGAGTTTCCAAAGAACTGTTCCACGAATTGGTCGACTTTTATATCGATTCCCCGGACACGAGGTCGCCTTTCAAAAATTGACCTTTAAGGAGAAAAATATTTCAGAAGAAGAATGTTCCAGAATCGAAGGTCCGTTTTGGACATGGACTGTCATCACAACGTCGTCCACCAATTTGAAGCTTCCTGTTTGCGTTTTGCTGAGGTAATTTGCTTCTATACCTCATATGATTTAATTTTTATTGTTATTTGGTATTTTTTTCGCGAAGCATAGAAAAACAAGGATTTTGAACAGTTCAGAGGAAAATATAGCAGCAGAGAAAAGGTTTTAATTTTGAGCAAAATTTTTAACGCCCTTTGAAAAGCTAATTTGCTTGGATTCGAAAATTATTCAGAGGTCATATTTTTATCCGATGTTCAAACTCCAAAAGACGTTAGCATGATATGATTATTTGTTTTGGGGGAAACTGATAACAGGATAATTTTGAAGAGGCCAAGATTGATGGTCATTGAGTGAAGAACTTTGATGGAGATAGCTTAGGAAAGAGTTAGAGTGGGCCCTAAAGAGGTAAGCACCTCAAGGTTACCTTCAAAAATTAGCCCCTTATCTTTTCTTACAGCGGGCTTTAAAGCTTGAAAAAATTACCACGTGAGGGTTTTTATTTATGGCCACTCGAGAGGAACATGCTGGTAGTCATATAGCCTATTCAGATCTTTAATGTCAAGTGCGATGACATCATTCAAAAACACTCTGTGGATGGCTCGCTCTCTGATTGGTTTATCGCATCATTAGGGGCGGAGCTTGAGCGACGACTTGACATTCAAAATCTGAACAGACTATAGATGAGCAATACATAAAACTTATCGGAAAAAAATTTGAAATAAATCAATAGGGCCCTTTAGGAGCCTGGAGCCATACCCTGATCGTCTAAAAGGACCACCTGAAATTTATCTATCCAAAACGGCCTAAAAATTCCTATTTCAGGTCCCAGAATCAATGAAATACGTTAATGTGCTGAATAACTTGTGCATCGAACTTGGCCAGGAGGAGATTCTGGGAAACCGGAAACTCAGCTTGTTCTGTCGCGACTTCGATGTCGATGCCGCTTTGATGAACCGCCGGAACAAAGATTTGGTCGTCGAAGAAGACGATGACGATGAAGGAGAATCTCCAGAACTCGAAGACGATGAATAAATTGGATGGAATTGTACATTTTGAACCCACATAATTTATTGCTGAAGTTTGTTGAAATTGATTATTTTCTCTTCGTTCTTGTTTTAATAAAGGTTTCTTGTATGTTTTTTTTTGGCTCAGAAAAAAGTTACTTATCTTCAAACCATACTTCCCGACACAGTGAATAGAAGTTTGAGAACAACTTGAGGACACCAGAGCGGTTCATAGAGGGGTAGAGAAAGACCAGCTCTTACAGGAGACTAAATGGTACTCCCTAAAAGCTAAAAAATTTGGGGGTTCAGGATCTGACCCACAAGCCCTAAGTTACATTTTTACAGAAGGTTTTTTCGACTTTCTGAAGAAAATCCTGCACAGCAATAATTCATTTATATTCACAGGGAAAAACGACGCAATTAATCAATGGAAGTTGACCAGATTTTGTCTCGTGTATTGATAGACTTCGTAGAGCAGAAAAGCGCCGCCGGCCATGCAACCGTAGTACACCGCCGTTGCTGGAAAACTTCAGGTTTTTTAATGCTTTCCGAAAAAATGAGTCCATATAGAGAAAGTGCGCTCTATGGACTCAACTAGCATTGATGACATTTCTTTCTTTTTTTTCAAGAAAGTTTTTTTTTCACTCTTCAAGTTTTCGAAAGATAAATAAAAAATTTAAACTCACCAGCGATGCCGCTACTGATATCAACAGTCTTGTGAGACACGTCTGAAATTGGAAATTCTCAACTTTCTTAACAAAAACTACTCAAAATAATTTTTAAAAACACTAAAAACCCACAGCAGACAATGTTAGAGTTGTCTTCAAACTGAAACTGATCTCCGTAGATAAACTGCATGTTGCTGTCTTTGCATAACAATGGATTTTTCTGAAAATCGATTTCTGATTTATTGAGTTCTTGACTCAAATCAGGGAAACGAAAACGAGCATTTCAGCGTTATTTTGGTCTTTCAAATATGCAATTCTATTTATTTGTTATTAGGAACGCTAAAGTGGCCCACAGAGAAAAAAACTTCAACGGCCCCTAAAGCTGAAACTCCCTGGTCCACTCTGGCGCTCCTAGGTTCGATACTGTTCTTTTTTTTTTGATTTGATTGAAAACTCACCTTAATTTGCATCTTGATCCCTTTTTCCTTATTCACCTCGATAACTGGCAGGAAAATCTTTAGATTCTTCAATTTCCGATTATTTAGTATCCGAACCGCAACGCTTGCATCTGGAATTCAAAACTTATTTTGAGAGCCAAAAATATTTCAAAACCTGGAGCATGGACTTCTTGGAGAAATCGAAACGCGGCAAAACTCTCAGTTGCGATTTCTTCTATTGTCAATGTTCCATATATCCTTCGGACCTGAGAAATTATTAAAAGCGTGTTTTTCATTTGATAATCGAACCGTAGACATAAGTTCTGTCAGAACCCCAATTCTTCGCTCGTTCCAATTGAAAAAGTCGCCGCTGATGACGACGTCGCCTTCGATTACAGTACATCCGCGGAAGTTGATCACAATCGACCTCATCGAATTCCACATCTTGATGTTTGATTTGCAAACTGAAATACACTATTTCCAAAGTTTGGGAGTTGTATTTCATCGAGTAGTTTTATAGGTGTTTTTTATTCTAGCTTTCCGAATCTTGCGATTTTTCAAAGAAAACTGAAAATGGATCTGAATTTCCAAAAGTTCTGTAGTTTTTTCAAATGATTATAGATGGTTCTGAAAAAGCAAGATTTTCAGAAGTTTTCAAAGAAATTTTTGGGTTCTAGAAAAACGAACTTTTCGATGGGAACTCGACGTAGGACTTGATGTTTTTCCTCAGGAGCGTCTTTAAAAACAACAGTTTCTCCAAAAAATCCCTTATCCCCATACTTGTAACTTTTTTGGAACCGAAAAACGGGTCCCCTCATTGCTGGTCAAACGACCAGTGTACTTGAAGATCCTTTTGCAGTCTCTGATGTACTTGAGACTGGGTAGATCAAATTCTCTGATGTCGATATTTCCCAAAACGATGGCTGCAAGCATTTTCTGTGAGGAAGTCTCATCAGAAGCTCACCAGTATTTTTGGAATTGCATCGAATTTCTTTGACAAAGGCCAGAAATGCCACGTGTCGCACAGTCAGATCTGAAGGAAAAACTAATGATTGTCACATTTTTGTAGAAAAAAGGTTTAAAAAAACTGCAAAGAACTATTCGAAACATTTTTTTTCGAAGCTTTTTCGCGCAAAAGAAAACGTGTCGGCGCGCGATAAACATTGAAAAATTTATCTCAGTCTTCTATAGGAAAATGCCAGCTTGTCACGTTTTCGTCTTCAAAAAGTTTCTAGCAGTTTTTTGAAGAATCTCAAAAAATCCTCCACTCACTTTTGCTCAGATCCAAGTATCCATCCAAAATGTATTTCACTTGGCCGACACTGAAATATTTGCCGTTTTACCAATTTTTTTTTTCGAGGAACCTTGTCAAGTTATCCGTCGGTTCAATGTCTAAAACTCCATGGTGGACTTCAAAAGAGTAGTTTCTCGGACCTCGTTTTGACCAACCTATTTTATATCAATTATCAGAGGATTATCACCCTGAAAACAGTTCTATTCTGGGGAGAAGCTGAAGTGGATACTAAAGGGTTTGAGTTTGAGATTGAGGGAGCCCTATAGATTAGGACCTCCTGAAAAGAGGAAATTGAAGAATCCTTTGTAGGAGTCCTGAAAAATTCTTCAGTATATCTGTACTGGGGGGAGGAGTTTTTCCTATAGGAACCACTTCAGCTCTTTTCCAGTCCACGTCAAGAAAGGCTAAAGGGCCGCTGAGCCATTCCAAATGCGACCTTGACTCTCCAAAATTCCACGAAAATTTTCATCGATCTTTGGCTTTACACTTTTTAAACTTTCCTTTTTAGAAAATTTGAGTTTACTAAAACTGACTAACAAAAATAAAGCGACAACTTTGACTATCTCCTTCATCATCATATCCATTTCTCCGTTTAAACCAACCGCATTTTTGATCAAGTTTCCGTCGAGCCGTTGAGTGGAGGTATCGTACGGCTCCGAGAAACTTCTGAAGGTCCTGCTTGTCCATGCAGCAATCGACTTCGTCGTCGATATTGAGTTGCTCAGCCTGAATCGAATAAAAGCCCGAGTCAACTTTTGAAGATTTTGACAGAAGGAAAGTTTTCTTCTAAAGTCGCTTAACAGTTGCAAAAAGTTTTGAACTTTTTCTCTTCTAAGGGCTTTTTCCCAATTGGCAGTCAAGGAAAGACACTAGTAAGGTCTTTGAAGGATATAAAAAAATTTATTTTTTTATCATCACCGTTTGTATTTCTTCAGGGCTTCCCCAAGAGCTTAAAAGGTTTTTAAAAAACTTCTCACTTGGTACTTTTGAATTTCACACTTGTTCGCAACTTGAATTTGCCTGATTATTTTTCCTTCCATTTATAAAAATACCTCTCCTATCCAAATCTCCTTCAGACTCTTGAAAGAGCGGTAACATCGAAAAGATCCGCGATTGAAGGTGACAGATTCCTGTTTCGCTGTGAATGAAACACTGGCATCTAGGGAATCCTGAGCTTCTGGAACACTTGCGCTAACACAAAAAATCAAGTTATGACAGAAAAATCAAAAAAAATTCTCTGTGAATAAATGCAACCAACGAACTCTGAGTGCTGATTTTCTCAATATTGTCGAAAAAAGTGGGCGGCTTTTCTTTCCAGAAATTGGAACCGTCAATTTTGATGTCCTTGACGTTTCTGGAATGACACAAAAGAGTTTTTTCCGTTTCAATGAGATTTGGAGTTTAATCGGTATGGAGCAAGAAAATAAACGATTTGTTGTAATGAAAAAATCTAAATTTTTTTCTTTTCCGGACAGGAAGTTTTTTTGTAAACATTAACTTTGAAATGCTTTTCTATAGATCGCTTTGAAAAGTTATCCAGATTTTTTTTTGAGATTCACGAAGTTTATTAAATAGCAAAAATTCGATGAAGTCTACGAAACTTAGCCCTAGATTTCTTGTAAAATTAGGCCGATACTTGCATTTGTTAAATTCGATCTTCACCATAGATAGGAGTCTTTTTCTTTTTTTAAATTTTTTTACCCGGTTTCAAAGATTCAAAAAAAAATTTTTGATATAGTCTTTATATACTTATCCCTGTTAAAGTGACCAACTTTTTCATGGGAGCCGATAAAAGTATTTCAGTTCAGGAAGACGAACTCCCGATCTCGCCCCTAAATCTTATAAATCAAGCACATATTATAACATTTTCGAACCAAAATGTTGATCGCAGATACGTGGCGCGACCCCATAAAAAGAATTATCCTCGGAGCTATCTAAAAAAATTATTTTTTTTTTTTTTTCATTGACATCAGCAAGGATGTAGTCAAGTTTGATGTCTCAAAAAGGATAGATAACACTTTTTGCTTGCGAATTCCGAAAAAAAATTTAAAGCGCTTGGCGGTATGTGGATTAGCGCCAGAGTGTATGCCCTGAAAACGTCATATTTGACGACATCTTCCATTTTCCCTGTTTGTTTCGCTTCTGTATTTATCAAGAACTTCAAATTCGAATATTTCTCACCTGAACCCCTCAATTTCATGCAAAAGTTGAATTCGTCCGAGATATTGAGGAATACCTGAATTAATTAATATCTAGTTTTTTTTATCATCTTCCAAAAAAGTGAGATCTTGAAAAAAATCCCGAAAACCAAATAAAAAGGCTGACCGGACCACCACCCATTTTTACGTCGTTCAAGAGATACTGGAATAACCTTCCGCCGATGTTCCGATTGCCGGTGAAAACGATTTCAACTGGAAAATCTAGCCTCAAGAAGTTTTGGACATCTGACTGTACTTTGTTTTTTGGATCCTTTCACGATCCAATCCACATTCTTAAGTATATCTAGAACTTCATCATTGGTGAGGTCCGTGTTTTGGAAAACTAGTGAGCTGACGTTCCTGTAAAAATTGCCTATTTGAAATAGATTGGTAGGAGTCTCTAAGTTTCGATCGAGAATATTGGCCTAAACGCTTTCATAAATCATTTTTTGCTTGCTGAAGTTATATTTTTTTTTAGTTTTTTCATGGAGTTACAAAACCAAGAAAGAAGATTTTAAATATAAGAAGGGTTGAGTCCACTCACCTGCATGCGGCGTACGGGTTTTTCTTGGCGATCACATGCCTTTGATCTCCGATAAATTTCAATTCGCAAGGTTCAGTCGAACCTTAAAATAACAATTGTTTTTTTCTGTTTCATTCGGTTTTACAAGGGATCATATTCGAGCTTTTGAAACCAGAAAAGTCCGCTTTTTCTATTTCAGGTGAACTTTGAAGCGTCAAAAAAAAAAACGTGAAGTTTCCGCCTATTTTGAAATCAAAGGGATCTGGAGCAGATCTTATAAAAGTTTTATGGAATTCTCATACTGGGGATATTTATGCCTACATTCTTTTTCATTCATAAGAATTTTTTGAAAAATGCTAAAAACTAACTCTAAAATATTGCCGACTTCAATAACCACCAAAAAAACTCGGAAGCAAACCAGAGGCTAGGGATCCAGAAAGAGACAATACCAGAGGCAGGAGTCGGATCATGGTGAAGAAATGAGCCTGACGAGCTGGGAACAACGATAACTTACACGTCGGTGATAAGATCAAGCTTTTTCGAAAAAGCTCACTTGTGAAACTTTCTGGAGTTCATTTCAACTCCCGGTATTTAAAGTATTTTCTCGAGTTAGCATGAGTATTGGAATAAGTCTTCTACGCTGTTTCTTTCCCAGGACTTTACTGTGTTTTTTATGCCGAATTCTATCGCTTGACCATTTTCCAAAATCAATTATGGAGTCTATTGGGGCGCGCCGTAGCGCAACAGGTTGTGGGCCTGTCTACGGCCCACAGGGTCAAAAGTTCGATCCCCGCCCCGACCAAGGGGTTTAAGAAATGTTGGTAGTGGGAAACCACGACTTCAAAATCCCCAGCCGTCACACACAAGGACGGATATGTCACTCGAGCCAGTCCACTGATATCAGGATAGGACCTCGGCTAATCGACTTGGGGCGCCGACACCGCTCAAGCGGTACAAAGGCGTAGGAAGAAGAAGAAGAATTATGGAGTCTATTATTCGAAAAAAATGTGTAAATAAACATTTTATCAAACTTTTTACGAAGATACAAAAAGTACACAATTAAACGACATAAAATGGTGATTTTCAATGAATTGGGCCCGGGAGTCATCCATGAGGTATGTTAGTTCAATCGGGCCAGTCACTCGTCAGAAAGATCTTCGTCCGCGTGTGACCGGGGTTCTCCCCGAATTTGCCTGAAAATTTTCGGAAAATGAAAGTTTTTTTCAATGTAAATTACCCCAGGTGGCGTTCAGGAACAGTTTACTGCTGCCCCTCAGAAGGTTTCCCTCTAGGGACCATCTAACTTACTTATTATTCAGGCACTCCTAATGGGCTGAGGGAAGGTGAGCGAGGCGTTTGTGAATTTACAAAAAAAAAGTAAGTGCGCGCTCCGGATAAAATGACGTCATAACTACACTGAGTATTAAACGTTAATAACTTGTTTGTTCGATCGCCTTTGGCTGCGTAATTGAGATTTAAATTTTCGCGCCAAATTTTTTTTTGACGTCTCCTTACCCTGTTTGGGAACGCCGTGAAAACACTGGTGGTCCCTAGAGGTACAGATATATGATTTCAAGGTTTCAAACCTTGAAATGTATTTTGCTTACTAGTTTGGGCAAAAACACTTTTTTACTAAAGATCAGATGAGAAATCGATTTAAAAATAGAAACAAGCATTTCCATTTGAAAAAATCGATAAATTACCAGTCTTTGAATCCAAAAGGTCAAAGGTTTTGCGGGCCCAGGAGGTCCACTACCTAAAATCCCAGAAGTAGCCTCTTTAGCTAGCTTTAGTTTTTCCCATAAGAGGAAATGAGGAGGAAACCTCAAGGACCCTAAGGTTGTCCTCCTAGGAAACACTCTCAAAAAGTATCAAAAAATCTATTTTACCAGCTCAATTTTCGAGCTTCATCCTTCATTTCAAGGCTTGAAACCTTAAAATCAGATTCCTTTTTCCTTTTGGGATCACCAACACGCTCCCCTATAGTGGTCCCTTCTGTAAGCTTCAGCTATAGGAGTAAGTTAGGTGGTTCCTAGAGGGAAATCTTCAAGAGAGCTAAGGCTGCCCCTCTAGGGAACACTCTAGGTTTCATAAAGAAATTGATTTCGGCTCAGAAAGCTTCAAAAAAACTACTTTATCAGCTCAATTTTTGAGCTTCATCTTTAACTTCGGGGCTTGAAACCTTGAAATCATATATCTGTACCTCTAGGGACCACCAGTGTTTTCACGGCGTTCCCAAACAGGGTAAGGAGACGTCAAAAAAAAATTTGGCGCGAAAATTTAAATCTCAATTACGCAGCCAAAGGCGATCGAACAAACAAGTTATTAACGTTTAATACTCAGTGTAGTTATGACGTCATTTTATCCGGAGCGCGCACTTACTTTTTTTTTGTAAATTCACAAACGCCTCGCTCACCTTCCCTCAGCCCATTAGGAGTGCCTGAATAATAAGTAAGTTAGATGGTCCCTAGAGGGAAACCTTCTAGGACCCGTTCTTCAGTTCATTTTGAATAAATGTGATGATTTTTTGAACCCCTCTCTGTAGCCCTCGGCAGTCCCACGGAGCGAAAATGACGCGCCGTTGTTGACCGTCGTCAGTGACGTATCGGCCTACAAGAGAAGAAAGATGAAAATGCTTGTGCTGCACAGGCCTCGCAAAGAAAGAAAAAACGTCCGGAAGTGTTTTGACTCGGGCGTGTGTGCTCTTCTCCTCAGGCATTTCCTCGAAACCGGTTCCGGAGGCCGAAATTCGGAAGAGCCGTCTCTCCTTTTTCGCTCGATTGACAATCTTCCTTGATTCCTTTCTCGATTAAGTTTTTTTTTCCGTCTTTTTTTCTCTTTGATCGCTTTTTTATCGTCTCTGGACCTTCTAAAAAGTTTTTTCAATTTTTTTTTCAGCTTTTTCTACTTTTTTATTATTTTGAACTTTTAAACTGAATTTCGCAAAGTTTTAAAACGATCCTGTTTATTTTTCATCCCTGAGACATAATCCAACTTTTTTTAAAATTTCTTTTGAAGTTAATTTTTCTCAAATTTTTGCTTCGACTACCATTCTCCGTCTACAATTTTTCACTGCTTCTTTTTTTTTGATAATCCTACACTACCAAAAAAGTTTTTTTTATTCCAAAATGTATTTCAATCAAAAAGCTGCCACTTTTTTCATTTTCAAAAGTTTTTCGACAGTTTTTTTTTCTCAAAAAATCCGATTATAAGATTCCAATACGTCCCTGTCACCTATACAAAGCTGCAAAAAGTGTTCAAACTCCTAAAAAGCCAAGAAAGTTTTATACCATACCATAAAAATCCAACAAAGGAAGGGATTTTATGGCGTGGGACGGGACCGAGGACAATTGAACTACGGTAAAGTATAGTCAATGTTTCCCGACTTGAAAGGTGATATGGGCTGGTTGGCAAGGGCGAGGTGTTGCGTGTGCGACGCGGCTATTTGGCGGCGAGCCAAAATTCAAATGTGGGAGACAATTTGGAGAGTTCGGTCACCGCTTTTTTATTTCCTTTTTACTTTTTCTTATTCAGTTCTAATGGAGTTTTTCGATTTTATTTATTTTCTCAATGTAATATTGTAAGCGAACACCTTTTTCTGTGTTTTGCATAGAAAGTTTCTCGAAAGTGCAGCGAATCGTGAAGCGTTTTTCGGAAAAACTTTTCACTGGTTTTTTTGTTTCTTTTCGTATTTGCTAAACTTCTCAGTTTTTCTTCTCAACTCAAACCTCTAAAAATCTTTATAATTTTTTTCTATTATGATTGATTGCAGATCGTAAGAAGAGAAAAAAATTCGTGAGAAGCTATGGTGTTTGAAAGAAAACACTTCGTTGATGGCAAACAGGTTTGTTTCAATTTTTTTGAAATTTCTCATTGTCATTTTTTTCAGCAATTTTTGTTTTAGTTTTTTAAGTCCAATAAACTCTAAAGCTCATCGCTGGCCTCGTCGGGCGAGAAATTCCATTGGAAAAGGCCTCGTCAGAAGAAGGAGACACGTTGATGAACATCGGTCGCCGTTAGAAGAAAATTTTTATTCAATCTATTTTGGTTAGGCTATTTTATTGACGTATCATATTATCCGTGTAGATTCGTTGTTCATCCAACACTGGGTTCAACCATTGTCCACTTCAGCGGCATCAAAACGCTGTTTCCGGGATTTCATTCATTCTTAATTACTCTTCGTTGCCGGCGACTAACTCTTCGATTATACCATGGTTCAGCAGAGATTTTCTTCATCTTACTCTGAAGACTGAATAAATTGAATTGAAATTGAACTCTCCGTTTCCGTCTATTTATTCTCGTTAGAACAATTTCAAGAACGTTTTAAACAAGTTTATTGGAAGGAAAAACGAAAGAACAGGTTAGCAAAACTTTGGGTGGTTGCTGATGCAGACAGTACAAAAGAGAGAATTCATGATGTTACCTGAAAAATTAATATTTATTACATGAAGAAAAAAATTAGTGCTTGGTTTTTTTAACCCGAAAAAAGTGCATGTCCGTTAATGTAAAAATTTTTTTGGCGAACAATATATTCACGAACTTTTTCAAGAAAAAATCTAAGTATTCATTGAAAGAATAGTTAAACCAAGGAACAGAAAGAGAACAGAAACAAGAACTCACAAACCTTGGTAATCGTTCGTAACTCGTTATTTTTCTTTCTCATTTCCGTAAAAATCTCTGCAGAAATCCTGAATAAAAAAACCTTTTTAAAAAATTGTTATTGATTCGATAAAATACTTCGCAACACTCCGCGAATGGTTACTTCTAAAGGTTTTCACTGCATGCAAGAAAAAAATATGAATGAATTTGAGAAAAAAAAACCATGACCTTTATTGAAAAATCGACTCTTCGTGAAACTCGGTGTGAAACCCTCGACTTCTGAGTTTTTTTGAAATTCTTCAATCGTATTTTTGCTTGGTCTGAAAAGCATCATCAATGAATAAATACAGTAAATTTTTTTCACAGCACAGAATGCACAAGTAAAAAATCATATTCCGCGACAAATCAATGAGCAACGATCAACTTGAATAAACATTTGTTTGTGCGAAAAAAATATTATTATAGGTTCAAATAAAGTTCCAATAAAAATCCACTGAAGCAAATAATTAGCGAAAAACATTATAAAAAAACAGAATAAGAAAAAAAGAAAAAAAGGAAATAAAAAAAGCGGTGACCGAACTCTCCAAATTGTCTCCCACATTTGAATTTTTGGCTCGCCGCCAAATAGCCGCGTCGCACACGCAACACCTCGCCCTTGCCAACCAGCCCATATCACCTTTCAAGTCGGGAAACATTGACTATATTGCTCACAAAATATTTATAAGTAGATTTAGCGAAGATGGTTTACGTAATTATAAACACTACTTTACTAATCTCAGTAATCAAAGAACGCCAAACGAGTATTCCCTTAACTAACTTTAAAGAGATTTCTACGCCTCCGAGAGGTTTTTCCCCTTCAGGGCTTTCTCAGTAAGTTTTTTTGGAAAGTTCACGTCCGGTTTGTATCCAGTGGAGAGAGGCGGGCTGAGCCACAACACTCTTCCTAGCTGGGCTGCTGCAGGAGAAAGAAGGTGAACCGGCGGGCAAGAGCCACAAAACGGTTTTCCGCAGTCGTCTGAGCAGCTTCGACAGAGAGACACGACGAAGCAACGCTGGCTGGGTCTGAGACCTTGCCCCTCGACGACTCTCGCTTAGTGAACACTTAAGTGTTCGAGGACTTGCAATTCTAAAGCGTAATTACGCGGTTTTTTCTTTATATAACAGGAACACGATTTCTTTTCAAATACCACTCTTTACTAACTTCCAACAATCGAGTACGAAAACGGGCGGCTCACAACTGGGCAAGGGTTGAGGTTGATCCCACGTTGAGAAACCTCAAACTTGGGTAATTAAACCAACACGTTTTGTAAAAACAACGAGAAGTTATTAACGCGTACTTAATAGGATAAAGGAGTGCTACTCGTTTGAATAAGAAATTAATTTAACAAAGACGAGATACAAATGAATAAAAATAGATAAACGAAAAACAAATAAAAAAAGGTAACTAATTAGAAAGAACAATGAACTTGAAAGGAATAGAAAAAAATATGGCGAGAAAGAAAAAAAGATGACAATAGAGAAGGGCTAAAAAGGGGGAAAAATTTGGCGCCTTTCTTTGACCCGTAGATCACTGTCGCGGAAGATCAACTTATATTTTATTTATTTATAAAATGAAAAAAAGAAATTTTTTTGATTTCTTTAAATTCAAGGAAATATACCTTAGAAGGAAGCTTTTCAATGGTGCATTCAAAAATTATCCTTAATTTGTATTTTTTTATTTTTAACTTGAATTTTCAACTTTTTGAATCATATTTTTTTACTGTATTCTACCTTTTTCCCCCTTTTTTTTTAATTCAAGTGGTTTTTTTATTTTTCTCTTTCTATGTTAAATTCCTTTTCGAAAACAGTTGATGAAAAACTGAAAAAAATTGCTATAAAAAAAGAAATTTCAATATACACATATATGTGATTATGTTTTTTTATTTATAACAAAAAAACGTTTCAATTTCAAAAAAACCAAAAAAAGCAAACTTCGCTAAAAAAACCCCACAGTATGCATTTTTTTGGGTGTCGGTGCACGACTCGCCGTAAATCGATTCCACTCTTGTTCTCAAAGTGGATTAATTCTTTCGTCCTTTTGTTTATTTTTTCCGGTTTTGTTTTTGCCTTTTTTGTTGTTTTTAAAAGGTTTCTAACGTTTCGCTATAGTATTTGATTGATTTTGAGCTGAAATAATGATGAAATATTGCTGTGTTTTGATCTTTTTGATGTTTTTTTTTGTTAAATTGTTTTGGTGGGAATTTTTTTTTTTAATAGGTTTTTGGATATTTTTTGCGGGTATATATATGTTTATAGCTTTTTTTCTTTTTTTACTATTATTAAAAAAATTGAGATTTCACTTTTTTTCACTCGAGTTTTACATATACATTTTTTTATTTCGAGTAAAAATGGACTTTAAAAAGTTTGAAATAAAGTTCAAATAGCTGTTTCAAGTTTAATTTTTTTATTGATTTTTTTACAATTTCTCATCAAAAAAATCATACATCTTTCAATTTTGAATTTTTTTGCTTGCTTCTCAAAAAAATTAAATTTTTTTGGTGAAAAATTCATTTAATCTGTTTTCATTTCTTTAAAAAAAGACTTATTTTCAGGTTTTTTTTTGCTTCTAGGGATGTAAGACTTCCGTTTCGATATACGCCTCAAAAATGGCGAAAAAAAAAAAAAAAATCCTAAATTCTTCGTTATTTTGCTAAAAAAATATATTTAAAAATAGGTGATTTTCGATTGACGCGATAATTGACAATATTTTTGAATAAAAAAATTTTACAATGTCCCTTTTCAAATTCCAAAAAGCTGTTTTAGACTTTTCGAAGAAAAGTATTCATTAAAAACGTTTTTAGAGAAACATTTCATAATTTTAGAGAAACAGTAAAGTTCGTTAATAAGATTTCTTGAAACGAAAAATATATTTGAAAAAGATCTGGGACATTGGTAACACAAATCTGGCCATTCCTTTAGTATCGTCAGACCTCTTAAGTGATCCCTAGAATCTCCCAGAAACGTCCATTTTGAGGCCCGAGATGTTTTAGTAGCCATTTTCCGCTACTTCTTGCAAGTTTTCTTATGTTTTTAGTACAGAGAAATGCTGTAAAACTTTACGAAACATACATTTGAAAGTGAAACGTGCCTTTTTCCAAAATGGACGAAGACGAAACGGATGAATCATCCGCCTCCGGAATTTTTAAGTGGAGTCGTCCCGATTGCGAAATTTCTCCTTTTTTTCTGGAGTCCTGGGTCGCCCATCAACCCCCTCAATTGTTTCCGTATTCTGGAACTTTTGACCTTGTTCTCTCTTTTTTTCGGTTCTGAAAAATTCACTCCGTTTGTTTCCAGTCTGATGAACAGCGGGAAACGAGAGAAATCAAGGATTTTTCGAACCTTTTTGAAATTATTTTTGGTTTTTTTAAAAATTCGTTTATTTTTAACTAGGAAAAATGTTTTTTTGAGTTGTTAGAAAGTAACAAAAATTTGCGAATTTTTTTCATCCTAATTTTTCAAATAGTCTGCCTTGTCTGCGCCCTCTTTTTCTCTCTCCGACACTCTCATTTTTCGAGTGATATTTTTCTTGATTTATGACCTTTTCGATGAGAGATAAGAGGGCGCAGACAGGTCAGAAACTTTTCGATCATGTTGAAAGTAAAAATGCTGAAAAAGGTCGGTTTGGAAAACTAGGCCACGCCGCAATTTCGCTCCATGGAACACTTCGAAATTCGTATTTTTTTTTCCTTTTTCAATTTTGAGAGATTTTGGCTTTTTTTTCATTTCTTTCGTTCTCGTGAAAAAAAAATACAATAGTTACTACATTAAAAAATTATGAAATGATTCTTTTTTTGAAAATTTTCATCGTTTTTCTGTGTTAAAAATGACGACATAAAACAAAATGAGCCAAATTGAACATAATAAGTAATCGGAAAATGAGGTCATGAGTGAACTACATACAAAAAAGGCAAGGAGCAAAATCAAATCCAAGAAAAGATGACATATTACCGAGAAAATCGATAATCAATAAGGAACGGTTCAGTTGGAATTGTAGCAAAACTGATAAAAAGGAAGGAAAAATTCAGAAAAGTTCCATGGAGCGAAATTGCTGCGCGGCCTAGTTTTACAAACCGACCATTCGGTTGTAAGCAATAAGGGAACCACTGTTTTGATTATACTTTCAAGGGGATTCTAGAAAAGTCGGTCACCTTTGAAGATGAACTTCATGATTTGTAAATGTACCTGTTTTAAAAATCGTACATCGCAAAAATGCTTGCACAATTGCACAATGACAGGATTTTCAGAATATTCGTGCTTTTCTAGGAACCTCACCACCGGGCATAGCTTCCTGGCACAGCACTCCATTCAGGTTACCACCCAAAAGAGACACAGTTCTCTTACATGATCGGTGTACCCGACTCTTAGCGGCTTGCGACGCGCACTATCTTTCATCTCTGTTCTGTCTTTCAGCGATGGAATTTTCGAGCTTAACATATTTATATATTTTTTTCCACTGTTTTTTTTTCAAGTAAGTCTCGAACTCTATTTTTCGCACAATATTTCCATCATTTCGTGTCAAGATTTTCATAAGAAA